AGGCCGACGACGGCGACGCCGCGGACGCCGCGGACGCCCGGGTAGCTCTAGCGGGCTTTTTTTTACATTAGAAACCTTTTGTCCCCAGTCATTCAGCGGCTAATTGAATCTTAAAGCGCTACAAGCCCCGGGAGCTCCTCTACCTCTTTGACTCCTGGCTCCAGCGGGCGCCCGTGTGAGGAGCCGTCGTCGCGCACCGTGCTCGGGGACCTTGAGAACACTACTAGTATTTAGGGACTTATGTTCACACGAAACTTCGCCGCGGCCTGGAGGCCGGCGCGCGCGGGGAGGGGGTGCAAGCAGGGGTGGCGGGTGCCGCCTGGGCGGCTATGTACAGTGGGGAAGTCGACGCCGACGTGCGGGGCGTCGGCGTCGGCGGCGGCGTCCGAGGGCGGACGTCGCCGGGCGGCGTCCGCGCGGTGCCGGAGCAGCCGCGAGGTCGTCGTCGTCGTGTTCTCGTCGTTCTCATCTCGTCGTCGTTCTCATCTCGTCAACGTGTCTCTCGTCGTCGTATTCTCATCGTCCTCTTCTCGTTCTCATCTCGTCGTCCTCATCTCGTCGTTCTCATCTCGTCTTTCTCGTTTCGTCGTCATGTTCTCATCGTCCTCTTCTCGTTCTCATCTCGTCGTCCTCTTCTCGTTCTCATCTCGTCGTCCTCTTCTCGTTCTCATCTCGTCGTTCTCGTCGTGGTCTCTCGTCGTCGTGTTCTCGTCATCCTCTTCTTGTTCTCATCTCGTCGTCCTCATCTCGTTATTCGCAGAAGCCGCACGTCGACCCAAGGCAGGCGCGTAGGCGGGGTGCGTCGCCTAATGCGCTAGAGAGAGATCGAATACACGCGCGCGTGGCCCGCGTAGGAGCCGCCGCCGTCGTTCCTGGCCGCCCCGACGGCCAGCGCCGCGCCGTCCGCGCTGAGCGACACCGACCTGCCCGACCAGTCGTCCGCGGCCTCGCCGTCGATGTCGTCGCCGCGCTGCTTCCAGGTCTCGTCGACGGGGTCCCACGCGAACACGCGCGCGTGGCCCGCGTTGGAGCCGGCGCCGCCGTTCCTGGGCGCCCCGACGGCCAGCGCCGTGCCGTCCGCGCTCAGCGACACC